TTGCTTAAAGTTTAAAAAAAAAATTGTATTAAAACTTCATTCATTGTACGATTTGACATGTATTAAAATTTACTTTATCCATGTACTACTATATTTAAAAACGTAAAACTTTAAAATACTTGATTACATTTGTTTTTCAAGAAGCAAAACTTCAGTTTATATTATGTTTGTTTCAACTGTTGAATGACTTTTAACTATTTAGTTTATGGTATATTGGTATATACCATAAAAAAAAAAAATCTGAGTTTGTCTGTTATTGTGAGGTCTATGTGATAATTATCTTTACCTTTCCATTTACCTATACCCATTACTTTTGTTTTTTCTGCGTTTATTTTTCCCCCGCTTCCTTTCCCAAAGGTGTTGAATTTTTCTTTTACAGTCTGTATTGCTTTTTCTGTTTTTACTAAGAAAGTAGTGTCGTCTGAGTATGCAAGTATTTTCTTGCCTACCGTGTTTGGAATATACAGTCCTTTAATCGAGTTGTCCTGTCTAATGTTTTCTAGTAGGGGTTCTAGGCTAAGGATGAATATTAGGGTAGATAAAGGACAACCTTGTCTAACTGATTTCTGTATGTCAAATGCGCTTGTAACACTGTTGTTTATTAACATATGACTATGTGCATTGTTATATATTATTTTTATCCATGTATTTTAAAATAGTGTCCTAGGTTGTAAGCATCTATTGTTTTCATTAACCATGTATGATCTACTGTATCGAAAGCTTTCTGTTGGTCGATGCTAAGAATCGCTAGTTGTGTGTCTTTCTGCCTGCTATAATGTATGATGTCTCTGATTAAGTGCGTGTGGTTGTGTATGTTTCTACCTGGTATGCTATACTGCTGATCGGGGTGTATTAATTCAGATATGAAAGGTTCGAGTTTCTTAACTAAAGTTTTTGTCAATATTATATAATCACTGATAAAGATATTGGTCTGTAAATTATAATTTTTGTCCTTCTCTATATTAGTTTTAGAGTAAAGCAAATGTCTTGAACATTAAAATAAGTGTTAGCTATTTCCCATTTATCAATTTCACAAATCAGGGTGAGAAACTGCTCACTTCAATTGATTTAGCACACCTGTGTGTAAGTATGTGTGTGCTCTATGTTCAAAAGAGGTATATGTGTATCTATGTACCTGCAGACGAATGCACGTTATAAATTAGGTACAAAATTCAATAAATGGTTGACATTTAAATTTCTAACCTGAGAGGCTAAAGTTGGCCTTTACGGTCATCGAAAACTAAGATTATATCAAGATGTTCTGATGTTGTTTCTTTTTGTGCTAGACTAGTTCAATAATTAATTACAGAGGCAAATTAATATAAGCAAACAGTGGATAAAAAAATACACATAAAGATGATTGGTTCATATTTTGTGTGTGCAATAGTAAAACATTGATTAAACAAACAAACAAACAAACAAACAAACAAACAAACAAACAAACAAACAAACAAACAAACAAACAAACAAACAAACAAACAAACAAACAAACAAACAAACAAACAAACAAACAAACAAACAAACAAACAAACAAACAAACAAACAAACAAACAAACAAACAAACAAACAAACAAACAAACAAACAAACAAACAAACAAACAAACAATCAAACAAACAAACAAACAAACAAACAAACAAACAAACAAACAAACAAACAAACAAACAAACAAGCAAACAAGCAAGCAAGCAAGCAAGCAAGCAAGCAAGCAAGCAAGCAAGCAAGCAAGCTAGCAAGCAAGCAAGCAAGCAAACAAACAAACAAACAAACAAACAAACAAACAAACAACGGGAAACCATATAAGAAAAACAAATGTCAGATTTACCTAGCATTCATCTAACCCATCTGACATGTACAATAATTTAATGTGTGGAGTGTAATGAGTTTAAACTATTAGAAAGACCTAAACATTTCAACGTTAAGCTGTAATGACATAACACCAATCCCTTACATGCTTAATTGGAATCGATTTTTTAAATGACTCGTTCGGTCGTGTTGGTAAAAATTGAACTCACCTGCAATTCACTTACGTGGCTTAAAAGGTTGGAGGCAGTGGCATTACTAGGTTAGGCGAGGAAGGGGGCTGAGTATATATATATATATATATATATATATATATATATATATATATATATATATATATATATATATAATTCTCTTCTGGGAGACGTTAGAAAAGAAGCTGCAAGCGCGCCTTGCATTCCCCTCTCTTCCTCTCTATCGCTACCACCCCCCACCCCCCACCCCCACACGGTCTGGTGAGCTGTGGTTCACGCTAAATGTTTACATTCGTAGAGCCGGGTTTGGTGACGGCTATTAGGGGCAGATAATTTAGTTTGAAACGATTTTAAACTTAGAGGAGGTAACTAAGAGGAGGCTGCTTTCACGCGGGGGGGGGGGAGGGAAGGGGGTTTAGTGTTTTAAAGCAAATATTTTCAGTGGCAGCATTGGTACTGTCGAATTCACAAATTATGAATTACTGAAAATAGAGTCCTTTCATATGACGTCACGTCCGTTCGTGATACCTACGTCCGCCGCCACAGTGGTGTACACCAGACGTAAACACAATCAGCTGTTCGCCAGCGCTGGACGCGTTCACCAGCGCTGGACGTGTTCGCCGTATGTAAAGAATCGCGCCGCGGAAAAGGAAAAATACGTTAAAAAACTTGAACTCTTAGGAATTGAAGATCCTTATACAGTTATTGACAGTTTCGTGGATAATATAAATATGTAGGCCTAATAATAGTGTTTTAATATCTAGATCTAGAATCTAGCTCTAAACATGGCGTAAACAAAATTCGGACCACAGATCTAGATTCTGGATTTAGGATGACTGGCTCCGCTGGGTAGACATAGAATATAGAATCTACTTCTTTACTTAAATTTAATTACAAAATTTAGATCTACATTCGATTAAAAATACACCCATAATAAATCAAAAGTAGTCATAATAGGCCTAATAAAGCATTTAATTGTCTCTAAGATCTAAAATCTCGCTCTATAATCTAATCATTTTTTTAGCAAACGATATTTTCTGAAATTGAAATAGATTGTATGACTAGACTTAGATCTAGAATCTGCTACTTAAATTAAATTGTAAAAACTTTAAACAAGCATGTAGTTGATATTATTGTAGTAGAAGGCTTTAATAAAATACTAAGGCCTACCTACTTTGTTGTCTTTTTACAGCAATATGTATCTGATACTGGACTGAGTTTAATTAAATTCAAATTCATATCTAGTAATTGGTCTACTAAGTTTTTGTAGCCTAGTAGTACAATCTAGATCATACCAGCCAACAAAAAATAACCACATTATTATTATTTGGTTAGGCTAATTTTTTTTTTAAATCCACTGTTTATAAAAGAAACAAATCAATCTAGAAACATTATAAGCGAGATGGTTTAGAATAATAACAATGGACCCTGTCTACAATTGATACAATTGCAGGTGTACATAGGGCCTACAGTCTAATAGTTTACAGTAGGCACCTAGTGTGTAGCTAGTATACTAGTGTGTAGCTGTCCAGAGTTAAGATTCTTAATGCCTTAGTGCTTTCCCCTGATAAGCCATGTGTGCTATAAATGACATAACATGACATCAGGTGAGAAATGTTGAGGGGAGACCAGTGGGATTTTCCCCTTTGTTCTCCTGCTGGGCCCTGAGGGTCAAAATTATATAAGTAAGAAATACTATCTCTGTGGGGCTGGGTATCACGGAGGTGAGACATTTTCAGGGGAGGGCAGGGCAGACTCCTCTTTGGTTTTATTGTGGGCTAGATACAGGTAGCGGCTGGAAATCATGAGGGTTGCACATCAGTATTAATGTGTCTGATCACTTCCCTGCTGGATTATAAGGGTCTTAAATTGTATAACATGCTACCCAGATTGGTTATTACCCATGGATTATATTAGTCGTTGTAGTGTGGGTTTTGTAGGAGTTAAGTGGTCTCACGTTTGCTACAGTAGATAACCTATAATATATTACTGCATTTGATCAGATTCGTCTACTTAAACTCTAAACGCAAACGGTATTACTGACAGTATTTTTATTTAGAAATTTCGGCCACATATTTAGATCTATTTTATCCACGAAACTGTCAATAACTGTATAAGGATCTTCAATTCCTAAGAGTTCAAGTTTTTTAACGTATTTTTCCTTTTCCGCGGCGCGATTCTTTACATACGGCGAACACGTCCAGCGCTGGTGAACACGTCCAGCGCTGGCGAACAGCTGATTGTGTTTACGTCTGATGTACACCACTGTGGCGGCGAGCGTAGGTATCACGTGATTTAGGTCACGTGTTTGCAAGGACTCTATTAGAAAAAACAACAACTAAATAGCGGCGTATGATACATCGCGGGTCGGGTCGTATATATATATATATATATATATATATATAAGTCTACACCAATGGTTTTTTTTTTGGAGAGAGATTTACTCTAGTATCTAAATCAAACAATTTGCTACTATTTGTGAGTATACACAATTCAATGTTCTAAAGAGGACGATTTTAGTATTGTAGGCAGGAGAGCGTGTGATCGTTAACTTTAAAAGCTCCGAGTTCGAATCCCGGGTCAGATGATGCTGGATAGTTGTGGGACAGCAACACACCTAGGAGAGGAAAATACAAAGTCACATATCTGCTGACTTGAAGATTGTTCTTGGGTGAATGAAATCTATGGAAGCGAATTCTGAAAGAAAATTAGGCCGACGTTGGAATCTACTGGCCAAATGGTGCATACCAAAACAAGTAAAAATTTATCATGCTGGAGTAAATTCCTTAAATATTGTATATTTAACAACGAAGAAAAAGAAAATAATGCATTTCACTGATAAGGCTTAATTTAACATGACTACTAATAAGATCCGTCATAAATTCACTTTGACAATACATTTGCATTTGTTTTGATTTACTCAAATCCGCCTCTGAGGGAAGTGCGACGTTTGGACAAGGCAATCAGATCAGAGATTGTCTTTCTTTATAACACAGTGTGTTGAGTTATGCCCCTTGGTGATTTCTGATAGACCACAAGCGGTGCTAGTTGGACTGGTTTTGTTCAACAATGCAGACACGTATCATATTTACAGTGTTTGCGTTATCGCTAGCTCAGGTCTCTAGCGCTGACAAATTCGTATGTCCTAAGGTAATTATTTTTCACATTCACTAGCATCATTAACATTAATCATTAATTGACTTATCTGACTTATAGGTCTGGGCAGCTCTCTTTAGCTAAGCTCACCTGCCCTTGTTCTTCTCCAGGATTAATTAGGTCAGGCTATTTTTATTTTCCCCGGGGGTTCCACTCCAACCCTACCCTCGGGATGTTGCCCTCTTCCCTTCTCAGGACTTGCCTGATCCGTCCAAAATAGAGCTTGTAAGTAGGTCACCAAATTTGCATTGTCTTTCTTAAATTCCCGGTGAAGCCTAGAAACAAACAGCCGCGATGTTGTTGTTTTTTTTATCGATGGGAATCATGTTTTAAAAAATTAATTTAACTAGGACATTTATATTTCTCCATGGCTAACGAGATTTTGAATTTGAAGCGACACTTACAAGCCCTATTCGCTGGATTTAATATCCATGTCTATTGGCTAATGCTTTGTGGTTTGCCATATGTCTTCATCGATTATTTTTTTCTGATCGTCTTATCTGAAGGATTTTACTTAGACATCTGTTTGTGAAAGACTGTATTATGTTGGTATTTAACATCGTAGCCTCTAGGTCTCCGTAACATAAAACATTATAGCCTTAACATTTGTGATGCAAATTCTTATCTTTCTCTAGTATGAAAGGGCTGTGCACTTTCACATCTGGCGAAGTGAGTTGAAGGCATATCTCTAGGGGTCGGTGTGGTCGATTCGGTAAAGCTCAAGGTTGCTAAACCGAAAAGTCTCGAGTTCGAACCCTCGGGCAGATGACGCTCGTTAGCTGGGGACAGCCAATCTTCTAGGAGAGACAACTCCAAAATCAAACAACTGCTGCCTTGTAGTTTGTTCTTAGTTGGACAAAGGCTATGGAAGCAAATACAAAAAGAAAGCAGACTGAAATCGGAGTCAATGATAGCGCATAACCAGTTGACACGTAATCCTTAATTGTGATGGAGGCGTGGTCGAGTCGGCTAAAGCTCATGGTTTATGAATTCGAAAAAAGTCTCGAGTTCAAACCCTTTGGCAGATAAGGCTCGATCCATAGCAACACTAAAAATTAAGAACGAAGAAGAAGAGGAAGGCATATCTGGCCAAATTCATACAGCTTTTCATGTCCTCGTTTTCTACCCCATCTTTGTTGATCAAGCTTCCCAAATATGTGAATGTGTTTGTTGTTGATCAAGCTTCCCAAATATGTGAATGTGTTTGTTGTTGAACAAGCTTCCCAAATATGTGAATGTGTTTGTTGTTGAACAAGCTTCCCAAATATGTGAATGTGTTTGTTGTTGAACAAGCTTCCCAAATATGTGAATGTGTTTGTTGTTGAACAAGCTTCCCAAATATGTGAATGTGTTTGTTGTTGAACAAGCTTCCCAAATATGTGAATGTGTTTGTTGTTGAACAAGCTTCCCAAATATGTGAATATGTTTGTTGTTGAACAAGCTTCCCAAATATGTGAATGTGTTTGTTGTTGAACAAGCTTCCCAAATATGTGAATGTGTTTGTTGTTGAACAAGCTTCCCAAATATGTGAATGTGTTTGTTGTTGAACAAGCTTCCCAAATATGTGAATGTGTTTGTTGTTGAACAAGCTTCCCAAATATGTGAATGTGTTTGTTGTTGAACAAGCTTGCCAAATATGTGAATGTGTTTGTTGTTGATCAAGCTTCCCAAATATGTGAATGTGTTTGTTGTTGATCAAGCTTCCCAAATATGTGAATGTGTTTGTTGTTGATCAAGCTTGCCAAATATGTGAATGTGTTTGTTGTTGATCAAGCTTCCCAAATATGTGAATGTGTTTGTTTCTCGTATATATTTTCCATTTATATCGAATCTGTCGAATTCTGTTTTATTCCTATTGGTTTTGGACGCTTCTTCAGATAGTAAATTCAGTAAGGTTTGTGAAAGTTGTTGCTTGTAATATAGTAGGCAGATGTCAACAGCACAATCGAAATCCCCCAGCTTTTTGTGGAATTCTATTGGATTTGTAGTCTTCTACACGGTCTAATCATTTACTATCACGACTACCATTGGCGATAGAATGCACCCCTGTCTCACCCCTCTCACCCCAGTCTCACCCCTGTCTCACCCCTGTTTCGCCCCTATCTCACCCCTGTCTCACCACTGCCTCAACCCTGTCTCGACCCTGTCTCACCCCTGTCTCAACCCTGTCTCACCACTGTCTCACCCCTGTCTCACCACTGTCACACCCCTGTCTCACCCCTGTCTCACCCCTGTCTCACCCCTGTCTCACCACTGTCTCACCCCTGTCTCACCCCTGACTCACCCCTGTCTCACCCCTGTCTCACCTCTGTCTCACCCCTGTCTCACCCCTGCCTCACCTCTGTCTCACCCCTGTCTCACCTCTGTCTCACCCCTGTCTCACCCCCATCTCTCCCTGTCTCACCCCTATCTCACCCCTGTCTCACCACTGTCTCACCCCTGTCTCACCCTGTCTCGCCCCTGTCTCGCCCCTGTCTCACCCCTGTCTCACCCCTGTCTCACCCCTGTCTCAACCCTGTCTCACCCCTGTCTCACCCCTGTCTCACCCCTGTCTCACCCCTGTCTCAACCCTGTCTCAACCCTGTCTCACCCATGCCTCACCCCTGTCTCGCCCCTGTCTCACCACTGTCTCACCACTGTCTCACCACTGTCTCACCACTGTCTCACCACTGTCTAACCCCTGTTTCACGCTGTCTTGCCCCTGTCTCACCACTGTCTCACCACTGTCTCACTCTGTCTCACCCCTGTCTCACCCCTGTCTCACCCCTGCCTCACCACTGTCTCACCACTGTCTCACCCCTATCTCACCCCTGCCCCACCACTGTCTCACCCCTGTCTCACCCCTGTTTCACCCCTGCCTCAACCCTGTCTCGCCCCTGCCTCACTCCTGTATCATCACTGTCACACCCCTGTCTCAACCCTGTCTCACCTCTGTCTCACCCCTGTCTCGCCCCTGTCTCACCCCTGTCTCACCCCTGTCTCACCCCTGTCTCGCCCCTGCCTCACCACTGTCTCACCACTGTCTCACCCCTGTCTCACCCTGTCTCGCCCATGTCTCGCCCCTGTCTCACCCCTGTCTCACCCCTGTCTCACCCCTGTCTCAACCCTGTCTCACCCCTGTCTCACCCCTGTCTCAACCCTGTCTCAACCCTGTCTCAACCCTGTCTCACCCATGCCTCACCCCTGTCTCGCCCCTGTCTCACCCGTTTCTCACCACTGTCTCACCACTGTCTCACCACTGTCTCACCACTGTCTCACCCCTATCTCACCACTGTCTAACCCCTGTTTCACGCTGTCTCGCCCCTGTCTCACCCCTGTCTCCCCCTGTCTCCTCCTGTCTCACCCCTGTCACACCCCTGTCTCACCCCTGTCTCACCCCTGTCACACCCCTGTCTTCACGCAAGTCTTTACTATAAAAGAGTTTGTTGGCTTTCCTTCGTGGATTGCCTAACAGATATTTATAATTATATCTAAATTACTTTTGCAAATGTAGAACTAGAAGAGATTAGTTTTTAATAATGAATGTGTTATAAAATGATTGTAGATTATTACTGGTAAAAAGAAATATTTATTAAAAAAAAATTCAAAGCATAAATGTTCATAATTTAGAAGTATCAGTGTGTAATTTTTGTATTGGGATGTTCTTTCAGAAATGTACATGCGACTCAGCTGTTGTCGCTTGCAAGTTAAATCATTACTATTCGAAAGATTTTCAAAATATTCCAAAAAACTTCAAGCTAATTATTCAGGTAAAATCTTCATTGGCTACCTCTAACACTGCATTAATAGTTTCAGGTTTGATAGCGTTTAAAAAGCATCAGTTAAGTGGACATCGGTTTAGAAGAGTGAGCTGCTAGACCCAGAGGCGTAGCGAGGGGGAGGGGGATGCGGACCGCACCGGGTGAAACCATTTAGGGGGGTGACACCAAGGCAAAAAATAGCAAAATATATAGAGAAAAACTTGAGGGGGGTGCAAATCGAAAGTTTGAGGGGGGGGGGGGGGGTGCAAATCGAAAATTTGTCCTCAGGAAGGGTCGCTACGCCTCTGGGGGTGACACCATTAAGTGCCGCACCGGGTGACACCCGACCTCGCTACGCCACTGACCAGACCAACGTTAAGTACTAGCTGTAACAAAAACAATAGCAGCACACTCAAGCCAATATGCTCATGAGATTAAATTGGGAGTAAGGCAAACTTAATGCTACGCTAAGTCTAAACAAAATCAACAGCAACTAACTACAGCCATTCTGAGTTGAAATTACGAATAAAATAAACTTCAATATACGCTAAGTCTCAACAAAAACAACAAAGCTAATAAATTAATGTTACGCTAAGTCTCAACAAAAACAACACAGCTAATAAATTAATGTTACGCTAAGTCTCAACAAAAACAACATAGCTAATAAATTAATGTTACGCTAAGTCTCAACAAAAACAACACAGCTAATAAATTAATGTTACGCTAAGTCTCAACAAAAACAACATAGCTAACTACAGTCAATACGAGTTTAAATTAGAAGATGTGCAAACTTAAGGCTACGCCAAAAGTCTAAACAAAGTGAAAAATGATTTAAAAAAAAAACATAACCTATATGTAAATGCAGAAAACAAGCTGCAGAAAGCGAAATTTGAACATACTCTATTTCAATACAATTTGATAGTGTCTCTTTATAAAACACACACACACACACTTACAAACATATATATATATATATATATATATATATATATATATATATATATATATATATATATATATTTATATATATATATATATATACAAGACTTGTACTCTGTAGAGTAGTCGCCAAGTCTCGTTCCCCGACAACAGCCTACCCCGGGTCACAGAGTTGGAGATAATATCATCGGGATCAGAAATTTGTGATTTAGCTTGGAACAAATCTGCCGATCACCTCGAAACGTTACAACTAGACGGTGTACAACTGAGAAATACGCTAAAGTCTTTGAAAATATTGAAGGCACTGCGCTTACTTAAGATAAATCATGCGGAACTTCTAGGTGTGGATCATAGAAAATGGCAGATGCATTTCGATCAGAAGAGCCCTCTGAAATTTTTGTTTATGTTTTGGACTGATCTATCCCTCATGACGGACATGACTCTGCCGAAGTCTGTAGAAAGTGTGAAACTTGACGACTGCAACCTGACTAAAATTCCAAAACAGTTTTCTGATTTAAATAATCTCCAGTCGCTGAGCCTTGAGAATAACAAGATTCAAACCCTCGAGAACTTGCCCAAAAATGTACACATTTTGATGTTACATGGGAACCAAATTTCCGAAATAAAAAACATACCACCAAATACCTCACAGCTGGATTTGTCCAATAACAATATCACACACATACAAAACATACCTGAGACAGTCCACTTATTTTACCTATCAGGCAACAACATCCCAAGTATAACAGAGAAATCCTTCAAACCCAACTCGCATCTAGCAGAGCTCGCTTTGGCCGGTAACAAACACAAAAACCTGACCATCGCGAAAACAGCTTTCAAAAACACCCCCCGCCTACACCTAATCGATCTTCGCGCGACAGACTTCGCTGCCCCCCTTGAGGCGTTCACTCGGCTGAAATCTTTGACCCAGCTCTTGGTTTCCCCACAGTACAACGCTTTCTGTGATCGCCTGAACAAAATCTTCAGTTCAAAAGTGTGTTCAACCCGTACGAGTACATATAAATTTGCCTTGGTGTCTTATGTGAATTAGAAAAGTATTATTCATGTCCACGAAATGTAATTCGAATTACTTTCCGGGTGCTACTCATGTCAATGTGGAGATCGTGACACGTCTAATATTTATTTAAATTCATATTTAAACAACGTATTTTTTTCCAAAAAAATATTAAAGGATATTCCCAATATTATCAATCATTAGAACTACGGAAAAAAATTAATAAAAAACGTTTTAATAACAAGCTTTTATATAATAATGCACTAAAAAGTAGAAAATAAATTATACACTACTATTTAAATAGCTATAAAGAAAAACGTGGGTCACTTTAGTATCTACTGGAAATCTTTTCTAATGTTTAGGAAGAGACCCACGCTTTTCTTTATAGTTATTTAAATAGTAGTCTATAATTTATTTTCTACTTTTTAGTGCATTATTACATAAAAGATTGTTTTTTTTAAAGTTTTTTATGAGTTTTTTAGTACTTTACATGTTTGTTTTTTTTACAATAGAGTTACATGACTAAATCCGCGCGCCTATGGAACGTAATAACGCGCTATTGAACGTAATGACGCATGTTTAGTAGTTGTATAGAAATACATACTAATTTGGTCAAAATTATAATTAATTCATAAAAAATTAATTACGCATCCTATTAAGTCAGTCAAATTTATTGTTATGATGCATTTTCTTCATGTCTTGACCCACGTTCCAACTACGAACCGAATGTGTCAGAAGTGCCTGCAATTTCGCTCGGGTGTTTCGATCTAGACAGACAGACTGACGACAGACTGACGAGGAAGTGAGTTAAATAAAAGCTTGTAAAAATATAAAGGGTTGCTATTGATCTTTAGATCCTTTATTTTAAAACTGTTGCATTTTGAATAAATGTAAAATTACATAGCCTACAAATTTAAATAACGGAAAATTCTTTAAAAAAATTAATGTAGATATTCATTGTTTTAAATTTTAATATTTTATAATGTAGCCTGTTATAAAATTAAATTGCAATATTTTTTGTTCTAAGACCTGTTTTGTTGTTTTGTAATACAATATATGTTATTTAACTCATATATTTTTATGCGGTATTTGGTAAAAACAAAATTTTAATTATTTGGATATTTAATTCTTTGGTCCTGGTTTTCTAGTAAGGTTTTTTTTTGGTAAGGATCGGTTGTTTTCTAAATCTGAATATATGAAATTTTAAATAAAATTATTAGCAAAAAGGTTGTGTTGTCGCTTTTGTTATTTAACACATCTTCTTTCTTCTTCTTCTTCTTCTTCGTTCTTAATTCTAATGTTGGAAAAAATTCCCAACAACATAATTAAGTATTACGTGTCAACTTTTTATGCACCATATAAGCCGATAACTTCGACTTGTTTCCATATCATTTGTTCAACCAAGAATAAACTAAAAGGCAGCTTTATGTGGGCTTCATGTTGACACAGATCACAATCGAATGTTTTTTCAGATTGTTCTCTGCTGTCATTTAGAAAGTATACTGTTCTAATATAATTACTTTGACTTGATTATTTTACATTGGTTAAACATAAAGCAAATATTAATTAACTAATAACGTAAATTTGAAATACTTATGTAAATGTTTTATTTAGAAATGAGACGTTCATCTAATTTACCTGAAAGAATTACAAATAAGTTAGGTGTAAAACTGGAATTGTCCACGTCCAAAATTACTTTGCTTTTCAAAACCTGTTCGGCGAGACCAATCTAGAGATTTTGGAGTCATGCAAACTACTCGAAATTAGTCTTTATTTTACTAGATAAATTTAATAGAAAAAAAAACCCCGTTAAATTTTAAAGTATAAACCGAGTTGATTAGTTATCGATTCATACTGTCATTTATTTTAACACATTCAAAATAATTCCAAGGCTAGAAGACTCTTTTCAGGTTGTTTATTCTCGTTTGATTATATCAAATGTATCCACGAATAAAAAAGTAAGTGTAATAAAATGTAGAAAAAAAAGGGAACATTTTTAAATAGAAACCCCATATATAGAATACAAAGCAAGCAAGAAAGACAGTTCAAAGCACGACAGATAGTGCAATTAAGTTAAAATAAAATCTTGAAATAAAAAAGCTTGTAATTGTCAAAATCTGAAGATTTATGAGAAATCGTTGATAGAGTAAAACACATTTAACGATTAATGGAAATTGCTCAAAGATTGACATAAATCTATGCAGTGGAGCTAATACATATGCAGTTAACTGAAATTAATACATAAACAGTTTTCATGTTAACGAGTTCCCAAGGTAACAGACAATACCACTTCCGGTAACTTGAAATGGCTCATAAAAATGAAAGCAAGCTGAGCATAAAATCCAATACTTATGCGAGAATTGGTGTACACTAATTGAAACAGTACTCAAGTAATTGCATTTTACGAAACACGATGTAGAATAATACAACTGAGGTCAACATAAAATCCCTCCAAATTTGATGCAGAACTACCCACTTCATACAACACCTGCATGTGAAAGTTCGTAAACGAGTTCTCGTTTTCTCATTCATAGAGACAGACACTCAGACAAGAATTTAAAAAATTCCGGCTCATGTAAGTGTAAAACATCAAGAACAGTCAAAATATTATTTTCAATTATTTCGTACGACTACAAACTTTATCTATATTCACTACAGAAGAAAGTATAACAAGGACATTGAAAAACAGTCTGTGTATATTTACAAGTATGAAGACATAAGCATTACATATATTTATTTTCTCTAAAAGTGATCTTGAATTTGACACTGAATGTGAACACATTGTTTGTCTGTGTGAAGTGATTGAAGTGATCGTTTAAGATTATATGTTGATTGGTTCGACAGAAAAATAGATGAAAATATTTCATGTTGTATGTGTGTTGCGTGTGAGAGATAAATTTGGGGAATGTGAAGTCGAGTATAATGTCAAGAAGAAGCATGTTAGACAAAATTATAGAAAAGTATATTTGTAAGATTGTCTCTGGAAGCTTCACATATTCATTGTATAACACAGGAAAGGATCAGCGCACTTTTACCAGAAAGAACTTCAGTTACTACAAACGAACCCATTTTTATACTCATGCTGTAAAGTTAAATATTCTTAGTTTTTGTCCAATTAGTAGAAATTAAAGCTAGGATTTTATTTATAAAAATTGTTTAGTTTGTCCTAAATGAAAGATTTTTATTATGATCATAATTTCTCTTCCTCCGTGACTGTCATAATTCTCCTGATTAACCCACTTCTCTTTAATTATCTCCCATCTTATGAATATGATGGCCTTTTAAATTTTGCATCAGTCTGTTTTCTCTTCTCATAGTGTTAAAAATTATGTTATTCTTAAACAATATTTATTACAGCAGTGAAAAAACTTTCACATTATACCAGGTCCATGTTGAGGGGTAGAATAAGGCTCGTAAGTAGTCACCAACCAGTTCTATGGCTCATGCAGGTTTTATTGAGCCGTATAACTGGTTGGTGACCTACTTACAAGCCCTATTGATGTCGCACGTTCACCACTCTCTTGTGTTAAAGTTAATAAAAAAAATTGTTACTGACGGCCTTTAAGAGGCTCTGTTTAAAAGTAGGAGCGGACTTCACAGAGATACTTGGCATTAATTAACCAACAGTTCACGTCATTGAATGGGTAGAAGACATGGTCGTATAGTACACAGTCCTCGCTATATAACCAGTTGTCAGGTCGTCCTGAAATTATTTAATTAATGAGTTATTATTTACATTAATCAAAAATCAGATAACATATTTTCAATGTAGTATTTAAGATATACTAAAGATTTTGTATCGGATTTAATTAACATTAAGATTAATTAATATTTTTTTTTCAAAGGCTATAAAAATGAATTACGTTTAATAACATTATATTTATAAATTACTAGCGTACCCGTCCACGCGCGTTGCCGCGGGAATAGAAGATAGTCCGACGAAATATATAAGAAGGGTTTCATCCATGCGTTACCAATCCTATATTCTTAGACTCGTGACCATTGTTTTCTAAAAGTGAGTTATTTAAATGTAAACAATGCCTGCGCTTGGATGATAAATATCGGGACACGGGTTTACTTACACTTACGCATGAAAACCTTAAGTGTACATTAATCACTCACCGAAATAATGAGGTAAAACACACTTCGGTGACCACCCATGTGTCATGGACGTAGAGGGGCGCTCTCAGGAGCCCCCCCCCCCCCCCCGATTTCACTATCGCATAGGCGCAGCGTACGGCCCCTGGCTCCTTAAAACTAACAGGCGCCATCGTGCTCATAGGATAACCCAGAGTACCAAATAGCATCCTGTAAACAATGATGCACATTTCGACATTCGCTGAAGTGACACAAATGAACAGGATTTTTTTCTTTAACACGTAAAAATTATTTAACGTGTTTTAAACATCAGTGTGACTGATGCAATATGGTAGCGTTACTAATGGTCTATTACTAGATGCTCGATCTCAATTTCTGACTGGATCGTCTAATAATAAATGCTTATTGCATCATTCGCAAAGTGACGAAACTCTACAGTAGGCTCCTCTTAAATTCAAAAAGTTATTTTTTCATCTTTCGCAAGGTGACGAAACTGTACAGAAGGATTTCCTCGCGTTACAAAGTTATTTTTAGAAGCCTGTTGTAGCTTTACCGCTGAATATAGTAGTACCCCTTACTCGCTATGCAGGACGCTCGATTAACGGATGCCAAGTGCCAACATAGTCGCTCTATAACTTTGGGCGCCAAACCGCGTATTGACGAAAATTGTACCCTACATGGCGCCGCCTATAACAAACTTTAGTTTTCTTTTTCGCAGAAATATTCTCGGGAGTATTCTCATCTACTCCCTAAAGTTTCATGGCACTCGGATGAACCGCATCCGAGTTTTATATTTTATATACCGTGTATAGAGAAAAAAATCGCTCTCCCCTGGGGCGCCGCCCTTGCAATATTAAAAAATATTTTTTTTTTCAGAACCCTACCATTGAGAGATCTAATCATCTCCCCAAAGTTTCATGGTACACGGATGAACGGTGTGAAACCGAAATAGACTTAAATTTTTATAAACCGTTTATAGAAAAAAATCGCACCCTCCCGTGGCGCCGCCCTTGCGAAATTAAAAAAGGAGTTTTTTTTATAGAAACCTTCCCTGGAGTGTTCTAATCAACTCCCCAAAGTTTGATGGCGATCGGATGAACGCCGTGAAACCGCAATCGACGTTTATTTTTATATACCGTATATAG